TGTGGTTTAAAAGACATTTCTCCGTGGTCGTGGTTAGCTCCCTGATCTCAAGCACGCTCAATGGGTATGCAAACCAACGGATTGTGCACATGTTCCGGGATGTTGCCAGGATTAGGGAGCTGGATTGGTGTGGATACCTCCTGCGGACGTTGGTCAGTACACATGCGAGTTGGATGGAGCGTTCTTCAAGGAAATTCCCGGGGCCACTGCTATTCCTCACCGTAAGTGGGGTGTAGGGGTGGGGGGTATGATGGGGGTATTGGTTTTTGCATCCATTCTAATATGTTTTATTTTCGTGCAGCTGCTGTATGTGGACAGGATGGTTGTCGGTGCCCGGGATGTACCTAGGACTATACCAGCATGGTGTGGGTGGACGCCAGCGTGGTTAAAAGCACGGCAAAGACGGGAAGTTCATGCTGGGGGATTCGGGAATGGCCAGCTGGATGCACCGCTCCGCGCATCGCCTGGAACTCGTGGCGACACAGGGCTACGTCCGGCTCAGCGTGGACTTGATCTTGGTCCCATTACGGTAAGGCGGTGGGGTGTTACGCATTGGTCCGCATGCCATTGCTATATATGTATATCTAATAATTTCAGGTTTGTCAGGGTGTGCAGGGGGATGCACAGATTTGGTTTTTTTTTTTTTTTTTTTTTTTTTTTACTATTCAGTTCACTGATACATACCTCAATGCCTCCACTTCCTTTTATATGCATTTACACCTTCCTTTTATATGCATACCGCATGGCATTGCTATATATGTATGTCTAATTCAGGTCTAACACGAGGATGTGCCGGGACCTGATAGTCCACGGGGTGCACTGCAGGACACCCGAGATGTCCGAAGGCCACGACCGGCTCACCACGCACCCACCCCCAGTGCTGATACGGTACTAGTTTTGATTTTTTATTAAGTTGGCACTACAGTATGCCAACTTAACAGGTGCACTAGTGTATATTTATGTGTACGAGTGGCTATGTATGTCTAATTTGGTTCAAATTGCAGGTGGATGCACTGGTCCGTGCATCGGCGGCACGTCCTGGGGTACCCACTGCCCGGGAAGGTCCTGAGACTGCACGCACGGAGCTCAACATCCCCCCACCAATTTCTACCGGGGTATGTATAACCAACTTCAAGACATTAGGTTTGAACGGGTGATGTGCTAAATTGTGGGTGACGTGTAGGGATTCCAACATGAATAGGTTCAAAATATTTGAGGGTCTAATATTTGGGTGTATGGCAGTTTATAAAAAACAAGTGCACAAACCACGAAGGAGGAAAAGTTTATTTGTGCATTGTAATACTGTTTCTTATCCTTTTGCTAATTCAGCATTGAAGTTCATTTTTGTGTTCTCGTGTTCGTAGGGGGATGCACGGCAAGTACCGCAAGACAACCAGGCGCACCAACGCTCGCGCGCTGGACATCGTGCACCCGGTCCTACCGCCATTACAGTATGCCAACTTAACAGGTGCACTAGGTAATAATTGTGTGTACGATTTGTCTGTGATGAAGTTGGTGTAATTGCAGGTGGATGCACTGGTTCGTGCATCGGCGGCACGGACTAGGAAACCCCCTGCCCGAGAAGGTCCCGGGGCTGCACGCACGGAACACAACGTCCCCACTGCATCTTCGGCCGAGGTATGTATGACCACCGAGTGATGTGCTAAATTTTGGATGACTTTATTATATTGTTACTTTACTAACCAACCGTCTGCCTGTAGGGGTTCCACCAAGAATTTGCAGCCATGACTAGGGACTTGCTCGCGATAGCCACACGGGTTGCAGAAACAATAAGGAAAAACCAAACACTAGCCTTCGAGGACCGAAATTTCCAGAGGGTTGGCAACGTGGCAAATCTGTTATCAAGGTGGGCCCGTACGGGAACACCACAAACCAACCTCCAACCAGGTCAGCCCCAAACTGTGACGCCCGTCCATCCAGACGACAATCTTTGGCAAGACTCTCAATTTTTAAGGGAACTAGACCAGGTGGAGGAGGAAGCAAGGCGGGAAATGCCACCAGGGCAGTCACGACAGGTGACATCGGAGGACATAGGGGGGGTTGAGCCACCGTCATTTAGTCTGGGATTGACTCAGGAGATGGCAACCACGGGGCCAGACGGGAACACGCCAGGACTGTCATCTGTACACACGCCAACTGAGCAGGTGCGAAGGGTTAACAGGTTAAGCCTATGCATTTACGCACAATTTGTGTGGTTTTTTCTAACTTCCAGGTGCAGGTACCCGTGCAGGCGCAGCGGGGAGGGCCCAAGTTAGGGGCAACACCCCAAGCCATACCCCCAAGGGTGAGAGCGCATCCGGATCGCCAGCCAACGACCACCACTGGGGCGGGAGACCAGCATGGTGGCATGTTTTTCAACACCGGCAATGGGTACCCTAACATGCCATTACCACCGGTCTATGTCGTTTGGATGTGGTTGTTCAACTCCCCTCACGGTGACCGGTAAGTTGCATGAATCTCGCATACGGGCGTATAAAAGCAACCGCATTGTGGCTAACAAAAAAACAATATACATGGGTGAAGTTCTATTCTGCCATGGCACACGCATAGTGAATTGGACGCAATTTTTAACGTTAAAGGCAAGGACGAACGTCTGTAAACCAGTGGTAGATGCATGGTGCTCGGTGCTAAATGCAAGGGAGCACCGAGGAGGTCGGGATGTGCCTTCTCGGCTGTTTGTCTCAGCATCCGCTACGGTATTGTGATCCATGCAGTTAAATTTATACTCTTTTCAAGACAGGGTGCACATGAATGCTATTGGTTATATATATCTACTAACTGTTATTGGTCACAGATTGGGACGGTGGTGAACGTCGCAGCCGGTCGAGATCAAAGGGTAACGTGGTTTCAACGGCGTCTTGATGCTGAGTTCCAAACAACTCGCCACGTGGGGACAGCTACGTTGGATATGGTAAGATGAGAGTCATGTTTTAAGTAGGTAGTTTAATCCGCAACGCACACCGAACAGCGTGGGCTAACCCCTATAATTTGTGTTGTGCAGTATTTCTTCCCCATATTCCACAAACCACGGTTCTATGTAATGTGTATAAGTTTTAAGCACAACGGGTTTGTCATCATCGACAGCTCACCAACGACCAGCATGGATATGGAGGTGTACGGTACAGCACCAGATGAATTGGTAAACACCACGCACTCTTGACACTGAATGCTATTGGTTATGTATACTCGCACACCCTCTTATCTTATGTCTGATTGTAGAGGGACCTCCTCGCCGCGTACCTAGATACTAAGCAGCACACTGTTCGAGCTCTACGATTGAGAAACATGCAGCCCGAGAGGATGAAGTTGGCATAGTCTGACAACCCTATCAACGGTGACTCTGGGGTATACACAATGAGGCACATGGAAGATTTTGTTGGTCAAGATCCCAGATATTGGCAGTGTGGGCTGGGGACGGGAGATCCCGCGGTCATTGAAAATATGCGGACGAGATTTCTGCACAACATCTTGCTATGTACGGTCAATGAAAACATCGACAATATCCGCACACGAGCAGGGGAATATGATCGCGATAGGACCGAACAACTATTAAAAGGGGCACCACAGTGTAGGACGGGTATGAGGTAGTGGGGGGTTGGATGACAGTGGTGGAAGGCAATCTAATTTTGGCTGTTTAGTTTTGTTTGATTTTGTGCACAGCTTCTGCCAAAGTGCAATAGGTCCCGAACAAGGCTGTTTAGTTGGGTAACATATTAATAAATTATATGCATAAATGGGTTAATGCCAACAGTAATATGGTATGTATAGTATGTCACGCAAAATCGGCATCGTATTGCCAAATGCACCACCATACCACAACTTAGATGCACCAAAACTCCACACCATGTTGTGTTGGGTAGCACACTAAAAAATTATATATGCATAAATGGGATAATGCCAGCAGTAGTGGCATATAGTTAATCGACCTCGATGGGGGAATATAAAACACAAACACACTGCGGTGCACAACATGTACCACAACTCCAGACCATGGTGTGTCTCTTACGTGGAACGACAATGTCATATAGTTAAGAGCTCTTTCTCGGTTGAAATGCAGCACAAACCTGCGCGTATAACGTGCCATAAAAACACTAACCAACAGCCAGAACTATATGCATAAAATTAATGGTGGGTCATTATAAAACACGCACCCGTTGCAATGCACAACATATGCAACAACTCAAATTAAATACATGTACCCATGAACTGCGATGTCTATATTAATATCCAGAAATGAGTGATAAATACATGTAGTCAATAAAAAAATACCATATTAATATCCAGGAATGAGTGATAAATACATGCAGTCAATAAAAAAATACCATCCAGCGCATGGGCAATTATCGCCACCAAAATGAGCTAATGGAATGGACAAACACTCCAGCGTTCTTATTAATAACCAAATACGAAGGATTGAAACGTACGATAAATAAAGTTAACTACAACTCCGATGTCTTTAATAATAACTAAGGACGTAAAAAATATAAAACTAATATAATGGACCATCCGAGTGCACTAATCACTTCAACGGACAGCTGTGAGCGTTATGATGCGCATACTCGCCACACACCCCGCACTTTCTGCAGGCCTTGCCACTCCTCTCAATGGCTAACTCCCGTTGGCTTTTAATTCACTTGCCCCTTCCCTTTGTTTATTGCTTGAGCTGGAGGTTTAATGGTAATGGACGTCGGCGGCTCCACACCACAAAGTGTCGCGATGGCTACACCGTTGCCCTTTGGGGGGTTAACGCTCATACCGTCGCTCAAAAACTCGTCTCTCAGTTCCTCTATTACCTGAAGCATCCGCGTTTGGCGCACTGTATTGCTTCCAACCATCGCAGTGCACCTGTGTATTTCAGTCCACAACCGGTTAGGCCCAGATTCTAGAGGGGGCAGTCAGAACATTGAGAACACCAATTAGCTAGTCCTTCCTGCTTACACCAGCGTGCTGCAATGTACCGCGCCGGCAAGCTCGCCATTTCAGCATCTTTGAACACATGAAACATATGCCAGCAAACTAACCCCAACAGTGTGGACAACGTTGTACTCCCCTTTAATGTCGTAACGGATGCACTCACCATCTGCACGGATCCCCACAACCTTACAATAAAAACATGCAGCCTCAATCTCTAGCTGGAGCTCATAAAACACTGTTAGGGTGAATTCCTGCGCGATGTGTCGCTCCAATGCTAAAGGAGTTCTGAACTCAGGCAATGACCCCTCACTCTCAGCATTTAGTTTGCTTTGTCTATGCCGTTGCGTTTCCAGGACGCTCTCGTATTGCACATAAAACTCGACCAGGCTACAATGTGGGCGTGTGCTTTTACCGTACGCGCTATTCTCTGATTCTGAATGCGATGTGGTACGTAGCACACCGCTCATGGGTAAATCTAAAAAATAAGATGGAATCCAAAACGCCCGTTCTGTGTATAACTTGGTGAACCATCGATGCCCCGTTAAGTTGTACTTTTCCATTAACGACTGCCATTGCGTTTCAAAATCACTAATGCCAATGGTCTCATTCCACACAACGTTGTTAAGCTGGGTTCGGAAAGTCTGATCTTTTGATAATTCAACCCCTGATTTCTCGCTCACTTTGGTCATGATATGCCACATGCAGTAACGCTGCCAGCACTTCAGCAATATCTGTGCAATAGCACTCTTCATAGCCGGGTCTTGATCAGTTACAACACACAACGGGCTCTTTCCCATTGCAGCTTTAAATCTCTCGAGAACCCATACGTATGACTCAGTGTCTTCTCGAGTTAGCAACCCGCAAGCGAACGTAATGCAGCGTTTATGGTGGTCTACCCCGGTAAAAGGTACGAACACTGTACCTGCAGCACGAAGAGTCCACGAGGTAGTTAGCATGAATACTATTAAATTACCACAAAATAACACTAGTGGGGTATTCGAACACCATACTATTAATATTAAATAACCAATAAAATTCAACATGACTACAATGCACTTAACACCAATGGTAATGAGTTAGCACTACAATTAAGTATGATTAGCATGCTCTTTACTGAACATAAACATAGGAAAAACAGGTGCACTGGGGAATGGGAATAATAATAATAATACAAAAAATAATAATAATAATAATAATAATAATAATAATAATAATAATAATAATAATGGTAATAATAATAATAGAACAACAACAACAACAACAATTACTACTGCAATGAACGTGTTTGCATCGGTATGTTTAGTGTACAATGCACTACGCAGAATCAACACAATGAACGTGTTAACATTTACATACCTGTTCGTACCATACATTGCATCGAAGGATATCACATCACCAAAACTCATAAAACTTTGACGCCCGGTGTGGTCAGCCCAAAAAAGACGCTGTAACACCCCAGATTTTCAAGACTTTTAAAACTTATATAATAAAGATGGAATCTCATTAATTCCCAAAACACAATACAAAGAGTACGAGGTGCTATGCCACACCTGAGCTGGAGAACTCAGATGCACAGGCTAACTAACTACTATCCTCAATAATGCAAATACATAATCATGGCACGCAGGCCGAAAGGGAAACTAACTACTTCTACGCTTCAAGGTTCTAGCGCGCTCCAGTGTCTACTCTTTTGTGCCTGAAAGCTAAATATATCTGTTCAGCGAGAGATGCTGGTAACCCACTCCAACGCGTTGAAATACAATACATATAGACATATATATAGATATACGAAAACCATTTTGAAGCATGAAGATATATCCTACGAGACTCTAGCTTTTAAAACAGGGATCGACTCAACAGTTAGGGCTAAGCACAGACAGCAGTTATACCAAGCATATACAGTTTACAACAAGCAAGACAGGTAAGATAAGCACAATTAATAATCATAATCCAACATATACGATTCTCAGTATAAATCCCATAGTCACATCCCCAAGATACTCATAACAACAACTCATCCATATCTCATCACATAGCAAACTTTGTTGGCGCCACAGGACCAATCGCATGCCATACATGAGGGTCAGCGCATATAGCTCTGACACGGCCCCGCAGCACCCTGCCCCGTATCGCAACACGGAGGGGTCGATCGCAACCGACCGATGAACCGCAGCTCATCATAGTTTGATCGCAACCAAACAGTAGACCGCAGCCCAAGAGTATGTCATCTGACCGCAGCCAGGAAAGTATGAACCGCAGCTCATGTAGAAACGTTTGATCGCAACCAAACGGTGGACCGCAGCCCGGGAGTGTAAATCTGACCGCAGCCAGCTTCTGAATCTCAGCTCAGGAATAACCAATCCGATCGCAACCGAATTGGGGTATCATGCACATATAACACATAGCAGGCACATGCAACCCACATTAACATATTGGGAAGGGGGAGAACACGTATAACAAAATCTATGCGTGATCCTTCACATACTAAGAATAATCCTAAGGTGTTCATACTTCTTTCACCTAGGTCAACGGGATACCAATTCAACTAGCATGCAATATACAAGACTCATACAACCTACGAACGGTACCCGAAATATCAAACTAGACATAGGCACGATAGACGGAGTCCGTTGGGACACCACGGGGGTCAGGGAAACATCAAACGGGGAAGCCAAAATCCCAAAGTGGGGTTCAAACCAGCGGGTAGCCGGTGGCAGCAAATCCGGGCAGCAGGTGCCCGGCGGGCAGCTGCCCGCCCGCCGGCTGCCCGCTGTCGGCGTTGCCCAAGAAGGCCGCGGGTAGGTGGCGGATCCCCTACCCCCCACTGACTCTTTCATCACAAAAACGCCCCGGGAACCTTTGTGGAACCCAGAACCATGCTTAGACACTTTCAAACGCAATTGATAACACACGTAGACAATTAACGGATCAAAATCAAGAAACATACGGCACATAACCTATCATGCTTTTCTAAACATAATCAACACCCAATCATGCGAATTCCCACCCCATATACCAAGAATGATATCATACGATACAACCTAGGGTTCTAATCACTTTTAAATCAACAAGGACACAATTCATCTTCTAATATCAAGATTCGGTAAGAATATCATATAAACATCAAGAACATCTTACAATTATCAAGAACATCATATAATCATCAAGAACATCATATAATTATCAAGAACACCATAATTATCAAGAACCTCTCATCATCAAGATCACCCATGGAATCATCCCACCAATCATCAATAATAATATCACAATCATCAATACACAATAATATGGGGAAATCCTAAGAGGGGAATCATAGCTATGAAAATAGGTTTTGTTGAGACATGGGTTACCTCTTAGCTTTAATTAATTCCTTGGCTATGAAGGGTCTTTCTTTAAGCTTTCTTCTTTCTTGATTTCTCCTAAGGGGATTTTTTGAACTTCTTGTGTGGTGAGAGATTATGGTGGTGAAAGATCTAGGTGCCTCCTATATCCCTATTTATATATTTAAGACTCCTAATTAGGGTCTGAATGGTATGGGTTTACTAATTCTATTCCTTATAGGACTAAGGGCTTATTTTAGGGATAAGGGTCCATGGTCCATAGTGGACCATATTAATTAATTAAAGGGAATCCTAATCGTAGTCTGAATAGTAAAAGGCCTACTTCCTTTATTCCTAATAGATAACTAGGTCTAGGATTCCTAATTAGAATCTGAATAGTAAAGGGTTTACTTTCTTTATTCCTAATAGGCTTAAGACTCTAATTTAGGCAAGGGTCCACGGTTCATGGTGGACCTTATTAATTAATTAAAGGAAACCTAACCGAATTAAATCATATTAAATTATTATTAACGGGATTAATTAAATAATTAATCCGGGATTGAAGGCCGTAACACGGGGTGTTACACTCTCCCCCCCTTACGAGAAGCTTCGTCCCCGAAGCTTGGAAATCATTGCGGGGGTAACGAGCCCAAAGTAGTACGGTGGTCCTATAGCGAAAGCATTCTACGGGGAACTGTATAATTGTATGTTTATGTGTGCTGAGTTTTTGGGAACAATTAGGTTTAAAGGGCTAAGAGAGTGGGTTTCAAACCTGAGGACAAAGTGAATCTAAAACCACTATCCCAAAACATCAGTCTAAAAACAATCTAAAACCATTGGCGCGTAGGCCACAAAAACACAGTTTAAAGATACAGGTGCTAAGCTACCAGGCTCTAGACATCGCGCTCGACTACTCAACACCTGAAAGAACACAAAGATAAACATCGGGGCGACGCCCGGTCAGCGAAAGATGCTGGTAACCCACCAATACCGTTAAGTATCATAAATAGGTAGATATAAGATATAAAAACCATTTTCGAAACGGAATACATATATATAAGTCAAAAGCCAAGATCAAAAGACAACACAAGACTCACCACTCACAAGGATAACACAGGGAACACATCCCAACCACAAAGGTTAACCACACACAAGGATAAAGACTCACCCAACGGCAACACATGCCAAAACACCACAAGCCTCCGTGACTACACACGTCACGAGAGAAGATCACACAACAACGGCTACACAAGCCCTCATGACATCACCCATCACGAGTTGATATGCCTTCCTTATGCCCTGTTCCAACCTTATGGCTACCCCCAACCTTGTACCTTCAAAGCCAACCATTACCTCCAGAAAACCCCTGTACAGCCAAGTCCAACCTTATTCCACCGAGACCGTCGTCCCCCACCTATAACCACCAACGAAAACCCACCAATCACGGCAACACATGCTCGGATAACACAATGTTAGCCCCCAATCATGTGGACTCAGCCACAGCTCCATAATCACGTCACGGCCACCACGAGGACCGCTGCAATACCTTGGCGACTAGTGTCCCATACCACTAATCGTGCAATCCAAGTAGAGCCACACACGCACCACCACTCACACGAGAGTCAATCAACGGATTGCAAAGAAGGTATGAAACTTACTCAATCAAGGAACGGGTCACCACCTAACAACAACAACGATGAATAACGCAAGTTATCATCAACCAAACGGAAGGTACGAACAACACACACGCTAGCATTAAGACAACAAACTAGCATGCTTATCAATGGGGAAACTCAAGATAGTTCCGAGGAACACACAAGACACCTCTTGGTTCAACGAAACATAATGTTGAACACTTAGCATGATTCAGGACACCAAAGATCCTACATGGATACCTCCCCATAAAGCTCTAGACCTACGAAACATCAAGAAGACGCTCAAATATTTCCACAAAAGAACAACGGGAAGCCAAAAGATCAAACACCGAGACAAACAAATCACGGGGAACAAATCGCGAACCAAACACCACCGTGTACACCGCGGGTGGACCCACGGGTAGTGCCCCACCCGTGTTCCCGCCCGCGGGTACACTACCCACAAGGCAACATGTCCCCCGTGGGTAGGCCGACGGGTGGTGCCCCGCCCGCCGTTCCGCCCGCGGGTACATCCCTGTACCACAACAAATCCCTTCGGGGATTTTCTTCTCCAAACACAACTTCAAGTCCAAAACATGCCAAATCTCACCAAACACAACAAAATGACTTGAACCATGGAAAATGCCAAGCAATGGCACAAAGGAATCCTAAACACAAGCTCTAGATATGCAATATCACAAGATAAATGCATAAACTCTCACATTTCATAGCAAAACACAAATAGAAGCCAAGAAATCATATATAGGTAAGCAAAATAGGTTTTGTAGAGCATGGGTTACCTCTTGAAGACCAAAAGACTCCTCTTACACCACAACAAGCTCTCCACTAAGCTCACTAGCCAAACCCACTTCAAGATCAAACCAAAAGATCATAAAGATCCTACCTTTAAGAAAAAGACAACTAAGATGGAACCAAAAAGACTAGACAAGCTTAGATCTTACCCTTCTAGATGCCCAAATAGATGAAAGATTGAATCTTGGAAGCAAAGCTTGGAATCTTGACAAAGGTCTCACTTGGCTTGAAGAACAAGCTACTCTTCTTTTCTAGAGAGAAGGTAGATATATTTTCTAGGAATTATAAGGGATGAAAATGAAGAAGTCTTATAGGTTTAGGTTACAAAACTAACTCTTGGTGAAAAGACAAGGATACCCTTACTAACTCTTAGAAAGTGTAAGGAACAAGGGAACTCCTCTCAAAGCACAAGGTACAACACAACTTAAAGATTGACTAGTCAAATACTAGTCCTTGAGTATCAAAAATCAGGATTTTAGGAATCAATTCCTCAAGAAATAGAATTAATTACTCAATTAATTCATGGATTGGAGTGTGGATTTTTGGGGTGTCACACTAACGATGAACCCCACGCATTTGTCCTTTATGATGCAGATCCGAACATTGCAGTTAACCCTGTTAAATACATGTTTCCTGCGTTGAGTGATCGAACCACCACTGCCACCCACCACGGGTTTTGGCGGATTTCGACCACCACCTTTAACGCCTTCCCGGCTGCATAACAAATAACGCGAGGTTAGTTGGCCGTCACGACCTCTTTTTAGGGTGCCATACCGCACAGAGAAGCCACATGTCCTAGCGTAGTTGATATAGAAATACACCCCTTCTGCTAGAGTTTTGAAACGGTAACCGATAGCCGGGGTAATTGCACTGTCCACAGCGGGCCACCAATATTTGACGAGTATGCTGGTATACCCACCCGTGCTTGCACTCTCTTACCCCCCGACATCTGCAAAAAAGGAAAATATGATACAACTAATTAATGCATGTTAACTATCTACTCACTTAACTTTTTTAACACATTCTTACTGCACTTAACTGTTTACACTTAAACTGTAAATAATTTCTGGCAGAACGTGGGGTGTATTCCCTGAATCACAAGAAATCAGTATAACTCCTACATCTGAGGATGAAGGTTTCAAGCTAGGATCACAAGGTTGTGATACAAAATATGTGAGAATCTTGAAATCCTCTTCTTCCTGCACTTTCTGGGTTCCTAGACTGCATTGTTTTTGTCCTTTTCATTTATGACATCCTTTATATTTGCACTGTCGTTCCTAATAGAATGCATCTTACTTGTATGCAACTTATTACATCTTATTCCAAATAGGATTTCCCTAATTAAAATATTCATTATAACAGAATTTTAATTTAACTATTCATTATCATTCTTAATCATAACAATCAATCATAGAGGCGAACTAAACATTGAACTTTGTGTAGCTAATTACCACATACAACAGTACACTTGGCAAGTGGATTCATAATATAATTGAGGAAACATTCACTAACCAAAGTGGAAAAAGACAAAAAAAATGTATATAAAGGCTTTGACTTTGGGCACAGTTTTGCATGACGGCTTACAATGCAAACAAATTAGCCATGGGCACAAACCTCTCTATTATCATATTCTCACATGTGGTAAACAGAATCTTCCAATATATACACTAGCTAAGGCATAATATAAGCTAGCTTTTTACCTATCTCATCATCATCATCACTAAATATAATGGTGCACAAACATCCAAAACACTGGCACGTACTCTTGGTTTTCCGATATCCATTTTTTCATGCCATGTGGGTAGGGCAGTTGCATTGTGTAAGAGAATAATTGACTATGGCCGTGCAACAAACTACAAACAACGGAAAACAAAACAAAAAAAAACAAAAAAAAAAACGGGCGGCGGCATACGGGATAAATGAAGAACGGACCTTCTGGAACACCGCAGTGGGGGTGCATGCCGAACATAACGCCGTGGTCAAGGGACGTCGCCGGTTCAGGACTACCCATCCGCACACTCAATTTGCCGGTTCTTCGTCGCCGCAAAGGGGGGAGGGGGGAAACGGAAACAGATGCCAAACTCACGTTTAGTAACCGGGAAACACGCTCAGGTTTTACAATTAGGTGAGAAATGCACACCTACATGGTGGAGCACGGGAACAACAACGCACCAAGAATCCCAACGTTTGATCTCTCAGATCAGTGCACCACAATAGTCCACTAGTTCACATTTAAGTAAGAGTGTGCACCAGAAAACCTCCCTATATATATATATATATATATATATATATATATATATATATATATATATATATATATATATATATATATATATATATATATATATATATATGTATATACATACGTATATGTATATGTATATGTATATGTATATATACGTATATGTATATGTATGTATACGTATATGTATATGTATATGTGTGTGTATATATATATATATATATATATATATATATATATATATATATATATATATATATATATATATATATATATATATATATATATATATGTATATGTATGTACATATGTATATGTATATGTATATGTATATATATGTACATATACATATACATATGTACGTATATACATATACATATACATATACATATACATACATACATACATATATATATATATATATATATATATATATATATATATTAAAGAGTTTTTGATCTTGAATGAATCATTAATTCAAAATTTTAATTGAATATTGTTATCGTTTATGATTTGTGTTATCATGTAATAAATTTAGTCTTTTCAATAATTGTTTCACACATTTATGTCTTACAGTGCACATCTATGCTTTCCAGTGCATATTGTTGTGCCTTCTAGTGAACATTGTTAAAGATCGTAAGTGGCGTTGATCTTGAATGAACCAATATAATGACTGAGATCATACACATTTCTCACTTGGGACCTCTTTTTGCACCAGATCCTAAGCATATATATATATATATATATATATATATATATATATATATATATATATATATATATATATATATATATATATATTGAAAAAATATAAGGAGCAACACATACAGTAATGTTGAAACGTACGTTTGTAACACCAGGAAATTTGTAACGCAGTTTGGGCGAAATACCCTAATCTGCGAGGCACTTCTCGTATTGGGAATTAGCCTAAATTCACTATGAGCAACTTCAAAAATTCAGAGTATAGGAAGAAGGAAACTTTACACAATAGATCTCACAATCTCTCATAATCTATTGAAACCTAACTCTCGTATTACTCCAAAGTGATAGACTCTCTCTTTCAATATATCTATATGCACTCGATCATATTACAAAGGTAAGTTCGCTGCATCTATTCTTCTAAGAGTCTTATTAAATAGGTGACACTTGATCATAATCCTAGTTGAAGTATGAATCCTAATTAGACTAGGATTTGAATGATACTTGTAGTTTGACTACAAGATAATTGAATTTTATCTTCAATTATCTTTTTGCCAATAATATTCTTGACAAGTCTTTATTCAACAATATCCCCCCTTGTCAATATTTTTGGCAAAAACCTTGATTTATGATTTTCTTGAAATTTCTCCCCCTTAGTTCTTGCTGTCTAGTTGTCTGCTTTTCACAATCTTTAGGTGGCAATTTTGACTTGATGTAACTGATGATAGAGTCAAGGCTCTAAGCTAGACAGTCCAAAGATTAGTAACCTAGGCAGAACTTCAAATAATGCACATAGTCATTTTCTATCGTAGTCACATCAGCATGCTGCTTAATAGCTAGACAGAAATAAGAGAAACATATTCGGCTTGAATTCTAAAAGGATCATGTCATGTTTAGCAGCTTGGACAGAATTCAAAAGAGATCATCTCAGTGGTATTAGTGTCAAAAATAGCTAGACAGTTTTCTCAAAAAATCTTAGTAGCATCAAAACAGATAATTCCAGCAGCAACATATCAGCAGTTAGATAATTCCAGCAGTATATCAGCAGTCATCTCCCCCTATTTTTGACAAAAACATATGACAAATTCAGTCAGAGTCAGAGGATGTTGCTTCTGGGGTTCCAACACCCTGTTCTTCTCCTTGGCTCTCTTCTTCTTGATCTTCTGCAGCAGTATCTTCTTCTTGGAATTTTTCAATCTCCCCTTCAGATTCTTCTTCATCAGCATCTACTCCTTGAGATTTTTCAGCCTCCCCATCAGACTCTTCTTCATTATTTCCTCCTAAAGCTGTCATCCATTTGAGTACCTCAACTTTCTCTTCCTGGATTTCCAATTGTCTCTGTTTTATGTTCTTTTCAGATGTAATCAGTTCATTGAGTCTCTTCTGGAAGTATTTTCGAAGGATATCATTGTTCATAGGGTCATCTTCTGGATTTGTGGTTCTCAGGTCATTTTGATGAGATCCCTTTCTCAGTTTAACAGACACATTTAGAGTTTTGATCTGTTGGAGCTTTTTCTTGGTAGACTTTAGGCCTTGTTTGGTGAGGATGGTTTGAATTAGGTTTGGAAAGATTAGAGAGGCCTTAGGAGATTTGTTTTCAGCTAGGTTTATGACTTGTTGATGGACCAGTTCTCCATAGCTGATTTTGATCTTTTTTCCTACTTTGTATAACAATTCAGCCAAGCTCCATTTCACAGTGTTTTCATGTAAGGAGGGCATCCAGTTTTCCAGAGCTATTTTTTGTTGAATGGCGTATTTGCTTGTCAGGCAGGCAGCTTTGATCTTCTTCTTTTCAAGAACTACATTTCCAGCTGTGATCTCCTGGGCTATGATGTCCCCATTGTGGTTGTACTGATCATCTTGTTCAAAGGTGTTGTAACTGGCATTTATAACATCTGGGGAAAAATCATAGTATTTTCCTCTTAGGTAAACTTTTCCATACAAAGGACTTGATGGGACTGATGATTCTCCTTTGAGATTGCAGTAGAATTCATGAATCATCTTTTCTTCAAAGGGTTCAATTTTTGTGACTGTGTCTAGTAATCTTCCTTGAATTAGGAGTTCTATGATGTTTTCTCCATCTTTGAGATTCTCCATACTGACCAATTTTTGAGGGATGATTTTTTGTTGTGAGATCTTGTGCCACAGATTGCTCGAGGCTTTATCCTGGAATTGGTTGTTGGGAGGTTGTAGTAAATTGGATGTTAGAAGTGTGGTTTCAAAATCTATCTCTGCTGTTTGTTTTCCCTTTTCCTTTGATGTGTATTTCCTTCGTGACTTGCCCCAGTCTTTTGAGGCATTTTTCTAGGGCTTTTTAGACCTTTCATTCTGGCATTCTTTACTGTTTTCCCAGTCATCATCAGTTTCTTTTTGTTTTCTTTTGGCAGTTCTTGTCATTCTTGGCGGTGGGATGTTAGGAGTCCTTCTTGGGGGTCCTACAGAGATTGGAAAATCACATGGCCTTTTAGCCCTGGGGTCAGCTCCTTCATATGGATCTACTCTTCTTCGTTTTCTTAGAATTTCATCAGGATTGTTCTCATTTGGGGCTGTTTCGTGATCATCTATTCTCACTTCGGTAGGGATTTCATCTAGCTCATTCTCAAAGCTGTCAATTGTGTCAGAATCCGTAACCCTAATTTCTGGGTTAGACTCTGATTCTATAATTTCTTTCTCACTGGCAGGGGGTTTTTCATGTGAGAATAAATCTTTACCTTGTTGGTGTGTGATTTTGTCTAGGTCGAGTACTAATTCCCCAAAGATACCCTCTGAACCAGTAGGTTCTTCTTCTGCATTTGGGTCCGAGGGAGATTGTGGGTTTTCATTTAAGGGTGTTTCGAGGGGCAGAGATGAGTTACCTGGTGGTGGGTAGATGCCCTCGAATGGTATTTGCGTGATTGGCACTGGATCCATGATTATATCTTCGGAGTGTTGTGGTTGATCGAGTGGGGGATTCTTGTTGATGGCAGGGGTTCCTCGTCGTGGAGGCCGACGGGATGATTTCTTCACTTTCGGCATTTTGGGGGCTCTTGATTTCTTCATGGTTCTGTTTTTGGCGAGTGATGAAGAAGGTAATCGACAATGGTGGTGGTCGTGGATGGCGATAGTGGAGGTGATCATGGATGGTGGTGTGCAAAGTAGAGGAGCGACGTGAGGGATTTCAATCGGAGCCGGGTATATTAATTTGGACTTTGAAGCGGGTTCATGACTTCGGTTTTCGGGCTGAGATACGAATTCAGGCTATGGCTACCATGGGTTGACGGGTTGACCCTCTTTAAGTAAGCATTCATTCCCCTTTTGTTTTTTTATAATAAATATAAAATAAAACTAATATATATATATATATATATATATATATATATATATATATATATATATATATATATATATATATATATATATATATATATATGGAAATAGAGAGAAATCAATTTAATCTACACAGCCCAATTTCTGACCTTAGTCTAGTAAATTTATTTCCGTCCAATCCTTTTGTCATTATGTCTGCAAGTTGGTTTTCTGTGTTGATGTGCCTCATGATGATGATTTCTTCCTCCACTAGTTCTCTGATGAAATGATGTCGTATGTCAATGTGTTTGGTACATGAGTGTTGGACTGGATTTTTTGAAATGTCTATGGCACTTTTATTGTCACAATATACTGTCATTTTTGCTTGACTGATACCATAGTCTTCCAGCATTTGTTTCATCCATAATAATTGAGTGCAACAGCTCCCAGCAGCTATATATTCGGCTTCTGCAGTTGATAGTGATGTTGATTTTTTTTTTTTTACTTATCCAGGAGACTAGATTTGTTCCAAGTAGAAAGCATCCTCCAGTAGTGCTTTTTCTATCATCCATGTTGCCTGCCCAGTCTGCATCACAGTATGCTGATAGGTATTTGTTTGTGTCAAAGGAATACCATATTCCTAGATCAGTAGTTCCTTTAACGTATTTGATAATTCTCTTCACAGTTTTCATGTGTGATTCCTTAGGGGATGATTGATATCTGGCACATATGCCTACTGAGTAGTAAATGTCTGGTCTGCTGGCAGTTAAGTATAGTAGGCAACCAATTATGCTACGATATAGTTTTTGTTCTACATCTTTTCCTTCTGTATCTCTGGCAATTTTCTCTGTTGTTGCAACAGGTGTTCTAACAGCTTTGCTTTCTTTTAGACCAAATCTGTTGACAAGATTGTTCGCATATTTACTTTGTGAGATGAAGATTCCGTCTTCCAGTTGTTTTATTTGTAGACCTAGAAAGTAACTGAGCTCTCCAACCATGCTCATTTCAAATTCGCTTTTCATGTGACGAATGAACTCATCTTTGTAGGTTTCTCTGGTTGATCCAAACACTATATCATCAACATAGATTTGTGCTATGATGATGTCACTTTTGTAGTGTTTGACAAACAGTGTTTTGTCAACACTTCCTCTATTGTATCCTTTTGAGAGTAGAAATTGTGTTAACCTTTCATACCAGGCTCGTGGGGCTTGTTTTAATCCATATAAGGCTCTCTTGAGTCTATAGACATGGTTAGGATGGAATGGATCCTCAAACCCTTTTGGTTGGGATACGTATACTTCTTCTTTTATATATCCATTCAAGAATGCTATTTTTACGTCCATTTGATAAAGTTTAATTTTTAGAATGCATGATACGGCAAGAAGAAGACGTATGGATTCTATCCTGGCAACTGGGACAAAGGTTTCTTCAAAGTCAATTCCTTTCTCTTGAGTGTATCCTTATGCTACAAGTCGGGCTTTATTTCTCACTATATTTTCTTTCTCATCAGTTTTGTTTTTGTAGATCCATTTTGTTCCTATAATGTTAGAGTTTTCTGGGGTAGGAACAAGTTCCCATACTTCATTTCTTTCGAATTGTTGTAGCTCTTCTTGCATGGCTTCGATCCAATATTTGTCAAGGAGGGCCTGCTCAATGGTTTTTGGTTCTATCTTTGAAGTGTAGCACAAATCTCCTTCAGACATTTTGAGGTAATCTCTTTTCTTTCCTCTTGTCTGTATTCCCTAATTTAGGTCTCCAATGATGTTTTCTGTAGGGTGATTTTTCTGGGTTTTAGTGATCTGTTTGATGGGTGCTTCATCACAATTTGTTGGTTTTCCAGTGTCATCGTTCTGTTCTGTTTCTATAGGTGGTGTTGAAACTTCTGTTTCAACACTTATGGTTTGTTCATCATCATCTTTGATTTCCGTTGAATCTATGTCAGTGAATGAGACATTTATAGATTCCATTACACTTTGAGTTCTGAGATTGTAAACTCGAAATGCCCTGCTGTTAGTGGAGTATCCCAAAAAGAATCCTTGATCACCTTTGATGTCGAATTTTCCCAAATGTTCTCGGTCTCTTAGAATGTAACATGTGCTGCCAAATATGTGTATGTGTTTAAGATTAGGAGTTTTTCCTTTCCATATTTGGTATGGCGTCATGTTTATCTCTTTCCGTATGTATACTCGGTTGATTAGATAACAGGCTGTACTTACAACTTCGGCCTAAAACTTTTGAGGAATTCTTTTGTGATTTAGTAGTACCCTTGCCATTTCTTGTATAGTTCTATTTTTTCGTTCCACTATTCCATTTTGCTACAGTGTTTTAGGAGCTGAGAATTCGTGGTGTATTCCTTTTTCTTGGCAAAAATCTTTGAAGTACGAATTTTCGAATTCTCTTCCATGATCACTTCTTAATCGCAAGATTTTTCCTATTTTTCCTTCTTTTTCAGTTTCAATCTTATTGATGAGAGTTTTGAAACTTTTGAAGGTATCTGATTTTTCTCTCAGGAACATGACCCATGTGAAGCGAGAGTAATCATCTACTGTTACATGAACATACCGTTTTCCTCCTATGTTTTCAACTTGAGTTGGACAAAAAAGATCCATGTGTAGGAGTTCCATAATTCTTGTGGTGTGGATTCCTGATATCTTCTTGTGGGTTTTTCTTGTTAGTTTGTTCTCGAGACATGTTCCACAAGTTTTGTTCTCGTTTATTTCGAGTTGTCGTGGTAAGCCTCGATATGCTCCTAGTTTTATCCCTTTCTTCATGTCATGGAAGTTTATGTGTCACATTCGTTGATGCCAAATTTGTACTTTAGTTTCTTTGGAAAGATTACAGGAGAATTGATTTGTCCAGACGTAGCACTTGTCTGATGATCTATTTCCTAGCATCACACATTGTTCATTTTGATCATAGACTTGGCAACTGTCTTTGGAGAATTTTACTTGTAGATTGTCATCACATAGTTGACTAATGCTGATTAGGTTTGCTTTAAGTCCTTTCACCAAGAAGACTTGAGTAAGTCTTGGTAATCCGGTCACATTTAGTGTCCCGCTTCCAATAATTTGGCCTTTTTCCTCCATCTCCAAACGTAACATGTCCTCCTTCTTTTGGTAGTATGTTAACCAGATGTTCTGGTTTCCCAGTCATGTGGCGTGAACATCCACTATCGAAGTACCATATTTCTGTATTCTTCTCTATTTTGGAGGTGAGAGCAACTGTTTGTGTTTGATTTTTTCTGACCCATACCTTTCTGGTTTGTGATTGTTTCCTCATAAGACGATTTTGTCTAATCCAGCAGTGTACTTTAATATGACCTGGTTTGTGGCAATAATAGCATCTGATCCTTCGATGTTGGAAATGTCGTTGCAACATCTCTGGATTTTCTGATTGTCTTTCATCAGTGTGTTCGATTCCCTGAGAGTTTTCCTTCAGGATTTTTTCTTCAAGATCTTTTTCCTTTTCTTGGAGTTTCTTTAGTTCTTCTTTTGTTTCCTGATGATCTCGAATTTCTCTTTCCTTTTCAATTTGTAAATCACGGTTCTGTTGCATGAGTTCTGTATTGACTCTAATAAGCTCCTGCCATTTTGATTGCAGCAATGTGTATGCTTTGAATAATCCTTGAATGTCCTCTTGGGAAGTGTCTTCCTCTTCTTGTGTAATGGTGAATGCAACGAAATTTTCATTTTCATTTTCACTGTTGGAGTCATCACTAAGTGTGGTGACATAGGTTCTATTTTTCCTTTTCAGGTATGTCGCACATTCCGATTGGATGTGTCCGTATCCTTTACATTCGTAGCACTGTATCCCATCGATGTTTTGAGAGGATTTTCCCTTCTTCTGATTTTCAGATGAGCGTGGTTGTGAGTTTGAGTTGTTTCCATTGTTGTTTGGGAAGTTCTTGTTTTTATTTCTAAACTTGTTGAACTTTTTAACCACTTTATTGAAATTCTTGGTGAGTAGAGCAATAGTTTCTTCCATGGTCTGTGTGACATCATCTGAATCAGTAGCTTGTGTAGTTTGTAGTGCGATTCCTTTGTTTGACACATTAGGTTTTCTTTGAAGCATCTCAAGTTTGTATGTTTGCAGGTTTCCCATCACATCACTGAGTTTGTAGGTGTCCAGGTTTGTACTTTCTTATATGGCTGTGACTTTCATGAGGAATCTTTCAGGTAAAGATCTGAGTACCTTTTTGACCAATTTTGGTTCGGGAAAGTGTTCTCCTAGATTATATGCTGCTCCAGCTATGTCAAGAATCTTTGCATTGAACTGTGTGATATTTTCGTCTTCTTCCATTTTCAAGGTTTCGAATTGAGTCTGAATCATCTGTAGTTTTGATTGTTTGACAATGGTGTTGCCTTCGTGATGATTGCATAAGATTGTCCAGGCCTCTTTGGCTATTTCAGTGTTTGATATCAGTTTGAATGTTTCTTCACTGACTGCTCCGTAAATAGAGTTCATGGCTTTCGAATTGTAGTCAGCTTCTTTGATTTCTTCTTCAGACCATTCTCTTTTAAGTTTCTTTTCTCCTCGTTCATTGGTAGGTGACACCCAACCTTCTTCTACTGATCTTCATACTCTCTCACCTTGGGACATGATATAGACTCTCATTCTAGCCTTCCAATAGGAATAATTTGCACTGTTTAAAGCTGGGGGTCTGCTACTTGACAAACCTTCTCTGGGAAAATCCATTGTGTTGTTCCTTTGGGTGGTGTAGGATCCTGCTAGTAGTTTTAGCAGCCTACTCTGATACCAATTGAAAAAAATATAAGGAGCAACACACACAGTAATGTTGAAACGTACGTTTGTAACACCAGGAAATTTGTAACGCAGTTTGGGCGAAATATCCTAATCTGCGAGGCACTTCTCGTATTGAGAATTAGCCTAAATTCACTATGAGCAACTTCAAAAATACAGAGTATAGGAAGAGGGAAACTTTACACAATAGATCTCACAATCTCTCATAATCTATTGAAACCTAACTCTCGTATTACTCCAAAGTGATAGACTCTCTCTCTCAATATATCTATATGCACCCGATCAGATTACAAAGGTAAGATCGCTGCATCTATTCTTCTAAGAGTCTTATTAAAAAGGTGACACTTGATCATAATCCTAATTGAAGTATGAATCCTAATTAGACTAGGATTTGAATGATACTTGTAGTTTGACTAGGAGATAATTGAATTTTATCTTCAATTATCTTTTTGCCAATAATATTCTTGACAAGTCTTTATTCAACATATATATATATATATATATATATATATATATATATATATGTGTGTGTGTGTGTGTGTGTGTGTGTGTGTGTGTGTGTGTGTGTGTGTGTGTGTGTGTGTGTGTGTGTGTGTGTGTGTGTGTGAGTTAATACCAGCTAAGGTCCCTCGAGTATAGTGGTTCTGCCACCTATGATCCTAAACTTTCAAATCGACCCTTTGTGATCCTCCGAGTTTCAAAATCGACCTACGATAGTCCTTCCGTTAATTTTCTCTGTCTCAACCGTGAAAAGTGAGGACATAATAGTCATTTCACATTTTTCCAAATCCTTTTGCTTTTCTCATCTTCCCCAACTTCATTTTCTCGCTCAACCAAGAAGTTCTTACTTCTTTTTCAGAGAGACATTTTCAATTCATGTTTCTTTTTCCCTTTTCTGTTTCATACCCATTATAATACCTATTTCGAAAGAGCACGGGAGTTACAACCTTAGAAGACATTTTCATGAGACATGAAGAAAAAATATTGAAAGAGCATTGCTGGCAGGCTTTAATTTTTTTTCAACTGGGATTTGATTAGACAATCATAAACAGGGGCAAAAGCATATCATATTAATTAGACAACACTAACATCAAATCCAAGCACATCTACTGTATTTTTCTTTCTCCTTTTATTCAATCAAAGTTATCCCCATCCATCACATCCCTACAGTGAAGGAGAGGAAACAAATTGCTTGGGTAAACTAAAAAGATCTTTCTCTTCAAAAGGAGAAGTTCATTCGCGCGACCCACCAGCAGATGTTTCCACGGGAGCTATTTCATCCTGCAACCTAGGAATTGAAATGCCATCCACTCGAAAAAGCAGGTTTCATAGCAACTATGGCCCCAAGTCCATTTGTAAATGAATTGAATGCATGGTGGTTGCACGAGAAAATGTTGGAGGCCGCGTCCGACAAGTTCATGGTGGTCGTCGACCAACGAACCTCGTCTCGGGGCTTGCTGGGTCGGGTCTCGCAATGCCCGTCGAGGTCGTCCAATTCTGCTGGAAATACAATCTGCTCCGCCTCCAGGAGATGTTCAGAGAATTGGATTGAGAAGCCAAGTTGAGATTGGACGGCGGTAAG